GTCAACTGTGCAGGCAATTTGCAAGTAGAGCCTGCGTTTTTGTAGTCCCTCAGTGAAGGGACACCGAGAGATACGCGGTTCGCTTCTGAAGCACAAGCGAACCACCTCTTGATCTTCATGCTGATTTGAAGTAGGCAAAGCAGCATAAGAAAAATACAAGTGAGCACACGAACCTGCGAATTCCTGGTTATAGGGTGGCCTGTCTTCCCACTGCACAGTGGCTTGGACAGTATTTGCACCCCTCACTGTGAGAGCACATTTGAATGTTTCATTGACAAGGACTTCATGTGGACAGCTGAAGGAGTGCTCAAAGTCAAACGCTGCCCTGCGTATCTCCGGTACTGTTTTCTCTCCAAGCACCTGCTGCAAGTAACGTCTCACATTAATTAGACGACAACTTTGCATCTACACTATGCACACAACCCACATTATTCATTAAAATGCGTTCATGTTATGCCCACCTCTACAGGGGAGAAAATGTTAGGGTGAATTAATAGATTGGATAGGAAAAAGGCATACCAAAGTGACTTCGCAAATAATGAACACTAGCAAGTTCTTCTGCAATAAAATAAAAAAAACATTAAATTGTTGTTGTGTGTGCATACGGCCAAAGCATTACTTGAATGATCTCTGCACTGACCATGTCGTGTGGAGTATGTCACTGGAGAGGGCGTACTCAACTTGACGCTTTTAAATGCTCAACTTTCTGTCTGCCTGAGTGACTCTGGGATACAGGGAAAATGGATAGTGTGAACTTGAGCTGTGCATGTGTACGAATTGTGAAGCCTCCTTTGACGCATACCTTGACTGAAGTGGTCCGTGTTAAAATAGCGACTGCTCCATTGTTGTTGCCATATTGTGTGCGCACAGAACTGAAAAGAACAAATACAAAGACGTTGTCGATGACTAAAATGTTACACTGCATTTGCTTCGGTAAAATTTTTTGCAAAATTTAACAATGGAACAGGCACGAGAGTGCGGCAGAGTGGCAGTTCAGAAGTAACAAATTTGAACCAGGCTGCACGTACCTACATGTACAAATTTACAAAACAAGGGAAAGAGGAAAAGGTCTTCACTATTTTGAACAAAAAGTCGAAGAGCTGAGTGGATAGAGTTCCGGTGTATGCGATGAGTACCTTTAGGTGCGATGACGAAGTCTGATGTACGAAATTGTGCAAACCTGCATTATGCAGTTAACGGCTCCTTTCTCGATTAATGTATAAGCAGAATAGATGATAGAAGTGAGTACAGAAAACCAAGTAATGCATGTATGGGTTGTTAAATTTGCATTGGAGGTTTCCTTAAATGCGACAGCATAGAAATTTGGGCGATTTTGTTCTCTGAAACGGACAGGTGAGAATTATCCCTAATTCTCCTATTTCGCACTCTGGCTCCTCTCTTATAGCATTATA